TGGCGCTGGCCACTTGGCCGCGTTGTGGGCTTCGCTAGGTCAGGGGTGGACTTAAACGGTGGTTTGGCGATTGCGTGGGCCGTGTTCGCTTCGACTTCGTCCTGCGTGAAGGGCGGGTCGAAGGCAAAACCAGGGAACACGCAGACCAAACGAGAGCGAAGACCACCGTTTGGGGTGCAGCCCTGCGCTGGGTGGCCGCTCGCGCTCGTGGCCCGTGGCTCTCGTCGCCGCGCCGTGGCTCTTCGGCGCTCCTCCTCCTGCTCCTCCTGCTCCTCCTGCTCCTCCTCCTCCTCCTCCTCCTCCTCCTCCTCCTCCTCCTCCTCCTCCTCCTCCTCCTCCTCTTCGAGGTGTGCACCCTGCGCCGCTCGCCGCGGCGCCTCCCGCGCGGCAGGCCTCGGGAGGCGCGCGCGCGCGCCAGGCCCCCGCAGGCGCACGGCGGGCGCAGCCGCACGCGGTGGGGGCCTCCGCCCGCGGAGCGGCGTCGGGCGCTCGGGCGCGGCGTCCCGAGGGCCGGCGGGAAGCGGCGCAGGGTGCACACCTCGAGGAGGAGGAGGAGGAGGAGGAGGAGGAGGAGGAGGAGGAGGAGGAGGGAGGAGCAGGAGGAGGAGGAGGAGGAGGAGGAGGAGGAGGAGGAGGAGGAGTAGGAGGAGGAGCAGGAGGAGCAGGAGGAGCAGGAGGAGCAGGAGGAGGAGGAGGCCGCCTTGCTCGGCGGCGAGCGACGGGGGGGGGGGAGGCGAGAAGGAGGAGGCCTGCTCAGAAGGCGGCTGGGCTTCTCAGACGCCCTCGCGCCCTCTGCGAGGGCTTCTGCTGCCTCGGGGAAGGTTCAGACCACTTCTCGGAAGGCCGGGGGACTTCCGAGCCTTCGGAGAAGGCCCGCCCCGTCCCACTTCCCCCCAGGCTCACCGCCGAAAGAGGAGGAGGGGCGCGAAGACGGGGACGAGAGAAACGCGAATGGTCAGGGGGAATAGAGCGTTGACGGGCAGGGGAAGGACGATGAGGAGGAGGAAAGCGTGGCGCACGAGAAGTGGGAGGGGGGATGGAGAAGTGGAGGGTCGGAGGCGGAGGGGGGAAGAGAGAAGTGACCCCAACCAGGACATCGGTTCTGGCTCCGGTTCGCGCCGCGCGTGCGGGCGAGGCCAGCCTGTGCGAAGGCGACGGTGTGCCTGCGCAGCGAGGGCCAAGCCGAACAGGGTCCTCTGGTTGCGCGGTTCCTCGCCGTGGTTGTTCCACGGTTGTCCCACGGTTGTACCGTGGGTTGGTTAGCCCGTGGGCTCTCTGTAAACAGGTACTTGCCCCCCCTGGTTGTTCCGTGGGTTGTCTTGCGGGTTGTCCCGTTGGTATTCTTTGTGGTTGTTCCCTGGGTTGTCACGCGCGTGTCCCGCGGGAAAACCTAATCGACATGCATATCCACCGGTTGTGTTGTAAGTTATATGCATGTCGACCAGCATGTCGATTTGCAAATTGAAAGGTATATCATTATCGCAATGCGAATCGAACGTGCAAATCTAGGTTTGAACCAAGCTACAAATCCATGTGCAGTCGACATGCACATCGGCCATTAGATAACTTCCAGTACAGACGCAGCATCAGGTTTCTGCCAACATCCTCTAGCATGATGATGAGGGTGTTGATGATGATGATGATGATGATGATGATGATGATGATGATGATGATGATGATGATGATGATGATGATGCTGATGATGCTGATGATGATGATGATGATGATGATGATGATGATGATGATGTTGATGATGATGATGATGATGCTGATGATGATGATGGGGAACGTGTGGAGAAGGAATTGGATGAAGCAGGTTAGAGGAGAAGGACTGGGAGGAGGCGGAGTAAGAGGAGTGGTGCGAGGGGTGGGAGGTGGAGGGCAGGTAGAGCTGGCGGGATCACGTATCCACAGCGCTTCGCTGCACAACGTTCAGACATGTGGCCCCGACGCCACTGCCACGCGCTGTCGCCGCCGCGCTCGGGGAAGCTGCGCGACTCCGCTGGCGTGGCAAAGCCGTAGAGCTGCGAGGATGTCGCGCTGTTTATTCGGAGCCACTTGGTGAGCTCTCTGGCACCCAGCCCGTATGTCACAAGCCGCGGAAATGTATGTCCTTGGCTCGGTGGGGAGGGCTTCGGAGAGTTGCAGATATTCAGGCTCCCTCGCCAATGGCCCCAAAGGGTTGGGGTATGCCAGGGTCATGATCTAGAGTCTAGAGTTAAATGAAGGCGTCGAACGTTTCAAATCTGATCGCCATGTCGCCATCCCACTTGCACTTCTGCTCCTGTTCCTGCGTTTAGAGTGTGAGGGGCGCGTGGAACTATGCGCTTTGATCTTGTCTAGTCTGTAGTAGCTACCTTATTCACGATACCCTTTGATGCATACTGTTGTGGGTTTCATGCACGTCTGGTACCTGGTGTTGTTGCCTCTTGGCGGGTCAGCGTATATGAGAGAGAGGGAGAGAGAAACAGAGGAAGAGAGAGAGAGAGAGAGAGCCAGAACACACTGAGGGGACTTAATAACCTAACCTCTTGTGTTTGGCCACACCTGGCAGGTGCGGAAGACCATGGACCGCTCAACACGCAGCCCTACTTCCCTTCGAAGTCCCAGGACTCTCTGAGCGTCTTGGCCGTCATGGCCGCGACGGAGCGAAGCTCACAGCGAGTGGAGGCAACCGTCGGCCCCAGCGTGGGGCCGGGAACACAGCAGCATCGTTGAAGAAGGTGTAGTGCAGGAGGGATGGGAGGGCAGGAAGATTGAGGAGGAGGAGGAGGAGGAGGAGGGGGAGGAGGAGGACACCCGAGGAAGAGAAGGAGAAGGAAGAGGCGGCATTCGGTGTGGGTCGAGGGTGTGTCTTTGTGTGTGTGTGTGTGTGTTCGGATAACCCTGCCGCGTTCAGGAGGAGGGCACGCACCCTGCTGCTGAGTTTGTTTGCTCCAGCTGCCGAGCCACTCTGCGACGGACAGTGGCACATCCCACGGCACAGCGGGGTAGGCCAGCTCTGCCGACGCACGGCAACGTCACAGCATGCCACACGAGTTTTGCCTCGGCTCATGCCTTGAAGTAGTCGCTCCGCTTCTGCTCTGAGAAGCAGGAATATCATCGTGGTCATCCGGAAGATGGCTCCTGCAGCCAGCTGCTGCTGGCCTGGACCCTAGACAGGACACATGCTTGGGGGCCAGTGCTACGGGATGGGGACAGAGCCCCCAATCCCGACCTTGAGGGGAAATAGCATCATCGTGCTCATCTTACTCGGGAAGCATTGTGCTGCCCAAATCGGCACTGTTGTATTCGGATTTCCAGGCGCGATCGAAGAGGATTTGCTTTTCGAGGCGCCTCGGGTGCGTCAGCTTGGACTCCATGAGGTTCTGGCCCTGCCAGCCCAGCCATTCGTGCTTGAGCTCGGCCTTGAAGTACCATTGCCGTTGCAACCGCCGAGGTCGGTCTTCTTCGTGTTCTTGGACTTGGCCTCCCTCCGAGCCTCGTGAGGGCCTGGGGTATGAACGCTATCTTTGTGAATGGCGCCAGTGATCAGGGCGCCCTTAACGACACCAGTCCCGTTCGTGTGCTGGAACTCCTCCTTGGCGTCAACGGTGCCACCCAATGATCATAATGCTGTTCATGGTGTCTAAGCTGTTTGCGGGGGCCTCCGTCTGCTCAGTCGAGTCAGTCTCGGCGTCCGTGGTGTCATTGGCAATCACTCAGTCGACCCCAGTGTCATTCTTGTCCTTCGTGTTGTTATCATTGCCGCTGCCAATGCCAATCGTGCTGCCCATGCTCCTTCTTGGCACCGAACCTGGCCCCTGGATTCTCCACGCTGGTGCCATGCTTCAGGTCCTCCGAAGCCTTGCCTTTGCCGAGGTAGAGTTTGAGGCATGCGTGGTCGTAGGTGATGGTCTTGTCCTGGTTGGAGGCTTTCCACGTCAGCTTCGAGAGCGACATAGTGCCAACCATGTCCATGGATGCGTTGCGCCGCAATTGCGCGTGGTATTCCACGCTGTCGCCCGCGATCGGCGCGGTGCCCTTCGTGTCCTGGAAGGCGGTGCCGTCCAAGACGTGCTGTTCGTCTACCTCGTCGCCGGCCGCGAACGGCTTGGCTTGCCGCGTCTGACTCTAGCGCTTGCCCATCTTCGCCAGATCGAGGCAGAGCCTAACAAGTACAGCTGCAAGAACAAGGTTTCCTCGCCCTCCCTAGATGAGGAGCAAGTTAGTTAGCAGCGAGGCATAGGCAAAAACGGCCACACAACTCCCGCGACCATCAGAGCGGAACAAGAAGAATAGCAGCGGGAGGTTTTGGTTCTCGTTGTCGCTCAAGTGCAGCGCGTTGCCCACCAAGTCCTGGGAGGCGGTGCCGTTCCAGCTGCTGCTTGGAGTACTCCACAATGTCGCTGGCCACGGCCAACGCCGTAGGTGCCCGCTAAGTTCTGGGAGGGTGGGGTGGGTGGGAACTCCTGCTTGGCGTCGAAGCTCGCCTCTCGGTCCTCCAGGGTGCCGTTGATGCCATGCTCAGGTTCCTCCAAAACCTTGTCCTTGTTGAGGTAGAATTTCAGGCATGGGTAGGAGTCGGTGACCTTGTCGACCTGGCACTTGCCCAGGCCCCGGGCGTCGCCCATGAAGTTCTGAGGGGCGTTGGGTTGGGCCTTGCCGTTGCCTTGGCTGTCGTAACGTTCCTCGTTCTGGTCTTGGCATTGTTGCCGCCGAGGCTCTCCTGTTCCAAGTCCTCGGCCAAACTGCATGCCCTTCTTGCCTTTGTAGCTCGTTCGGCCGCAGGCCTGGTCCAGGACGCGACCCGGCAGACATTCTACGGCCGCGTGCGAGGCTGATGAACCTCACTCCTGTTATACGAACTTGCTTGTGACAGGGCCGAAAGCGCGAGGACTATGGACAACGAGAGGGGGACTTGCTTCTGAGAGTCGGGGTCAAGGAGTTGGCACCCGACGTTGCTCACAAGCATCAAGGCTATGAGCTGCTTACCGCTCCATATTCAAAGTTTTTGATTAAGGTGCTGTGCCCAGAGAAAGGGACATCATCACGGGATTGGGGTTGCCCCGGCTGTGCGGCGCGATCACCGGTATAATGTATGGTTTCGGATTCGTATGTTCTTTCACGGGGCATGGTATACATACCTGTAGTTTTATGTATATCACAAAATTACAGGTTTACATCTAGGCACATGTGTCTACGTGCGTACACACATACATATATATATATATATATATATGTGTATATGTATGTATGTATATTTGTGTATGTATATTAGCGTATATATACACATTGGCGTGTACTCAGAAAAGAAATCCGGCTCTGTCGTGTGTGTGTGTGTGTGTTTTTCTCCAGAGTTGTCCGAGGAGTTCACCTTCCCGTATGGATACGTCACGCGGCGGGTCGCCATCAAGGTATGCGGGGCCCTGAAAGCCGTTGGCATCCAACTGGAGGAGAATCAGTATTCGGCTGCTGAAAGCTATTTCTCGAGCGGGGCGGCTTCCGCCGATGTGATCGAAAGGACGCAGAGTGTCGATCTCTCAACTTTCGAACATGAGAGCATACACCACTACGGCAAGTCGAAAGACCAGCAACCTATTGTGCGTGATGAGTCCCCGCAAGCTCACGAATGAGAAAAATATCAGATGGTAGCGTACGACGCACAGAATTAGAATAACATAGCATGGCTCTTCAAACTGCGATGTTCGCGAGGAGACATGCAATCGTCAGGATCGTCATAGCCGGATACAAGAATGAGGTAGATTCGTTCATGTTCGGGGGAAGCGCATAATTATGATATGCTTCTGGGCTGCGTTGGCCCTGCTGCCGCATCTGTGAGGAGTGAAGGACCATGCTTTTCTATTGGATGGTCCTGGGATGGTCGCCTCGGGCAATTGTCGTTGACGCATGTTTTTGCTTCTGGGACTTCCCACGCGGGGAGAAGGTCAGTTGGGATTTCGAAGAAAATTGCCATGGGCACGAGACCGCTATCCCGTTCGCAAAGTACACCGCCAATGCGTGCGACCTCACTGATGGGGAGCGGTGCCACATCGATCGCAAGTCCGACCCGATGGCTCCTTGGCCGAGCGGCCAGCCTGAACAGACGCCCCACCTTCGCCACAAGACGAGAGGAGGTGCGGCGGGGTGCTTTTGGAATGGGTGAATCAGTTCGCGCGCGTCTTATCTCGCAAGCGTGAACGAGGAATTCATGCCAGTTGACATGCTGGCCCGCCTCGTGGGCCGTCTTGGAGCGGTCTTGGGGGGCCTTTTGGGCCGTCTTGGAGCGTCCAGAAGCCGAAAAAGCCAGAACGCAAAAAAAAAAAACACAGGAAAAAAAAACAATGAAAATCAACGATTTTGGCCTCTTGGGGTCCTCTTCGGAGGCCTCTTGGAAGGCCCTTGGGGCGTCTTGGAGGCCTCTTGGGCTGTCTTGGGGCCCTGTTGGGCGTCTTCGGGTGATCTTTGGCCGTCTCGGGGCCCTCTTGGACCGTCTTGGAGGCTTCTTGGGGGCCTCTTGGCCCGTCCTGGGGCCCTGTAACAGGGCTCCGGCATCTCTTGCCCGACCTTGCCGGGGACTTGCCGGGACCTTGCCGGGGCACTTTTCGCCCGGGGACCCCCAGGGGCCGCCCCGCGCGCGCGAACTAGAAATACTGTTAACCAGGTACCAGAGATCTTAGCACGCCCTGGCCCGTTGGGCCGGCGAATTTCCAGACGGCGTCGCGTTCCGATCCAGGCAGCGGACGTTCGCCAGCTCGGCGCTTGCACGTCCGAGGAGCCAAACGAGACGGGCGGTTCGGCGCGGCGGCGCTGCGACGGCGATGCTAGTCGGCCTGCGGATCGCTATCCTGATTGAACTGTTTGCCTGGGGCGACCAGATTCGCGCGATCGAATCCAGCCCCTCGGGCGCGTTGACAGAGGTGGATTGCGACGATATGCGCGAAGCCAAGAGCCGTGAAATGCTCAATATTCGAAGCGCAACTTGGGCGCATTGCCGGGGGGAAAACTTGCCTTGCGCCACCTTTTCTAAGTGATTTCGGCCCGCGGAAGTTTGGCCCGCGCCCGGTTTGCAAGACGGCCCGGCGAGACCGGCCGCGACGGGGGCGATGCGCCCGCGCGGCCGCCGTGCAAAAGGAAGGGGGCCCCGCGCGCCCGTTCTGGGGAAAGGCCACGGATGCCGGGCGCCGCGGCCTGCCTCGCGGCCCCAGTGGCGCCGCGGCTGGAGGGGGCGCCGCCCCGTCTGATTCCGCCGCAACCGACGACGCGGAGCGGCAGTTGAGGGCGCCAGTTGCCCATGCCCCAGCGGTGCGATCCCAGTTCCAGTCGATGGCCCCGGATTCTCGGCGGGGCAAGGGCCCGACGTGGATCTTTGGAGGTTTTTCCACGAGCACTAGGCGCTGCTTGGCGTCGAGGGCCAGGCTGCCGACGCCATTCGGCGGTTCAGAGATTCGCGCGAGGCCAATGAAGCGCGGCGCGGTGGGCGCCGGCAAGTCGCGGACAATTTAAAATACCATTGCGATGATGGAATTGCGCGCGGGGAAATTTGGGCGGCCGCCAAGCGGCCGCAGGATGCGCCAGTTCCAGGAGGCGAAAGAAGCGAACACCGCCGCCAAAGAACACAGGCGCTCGAGTGTGCAGGTTGCCGAACTCCACGTAAGCATTGCCGACGGAAATCGAAGGTTCTGCAAGGG